GTGTGTTACAGGCAGACCCATGTATCTGTGACCCACACTTTGCCAGCTCCAGTGTCCCAGCCACAGCTGCCTTCTGCTTTCCATTGTGCAGATAATTTGCAACTCTAAGCAGAAACATGAACTCCTTTGCTATGGTTCACTGGCAATTTCAACATTATATTTATACAGCAAGCAAACTGATGACTCAAACTCCTGCAGAAGGAGGCAGGGCATGGGTCTGTAGGCTTCTTTAAAGAGACAGCTTTTGGCAAATTAAAGCAGAGATTTTTCTCTTGTGCTAGCCAATTGAAATAGCAATTGGGCATTAAGAAAAACTTATGGGCAACATATGATAAGACTTGGTATGGCTCACAAAATTTAAAGAAATGATTCACATCTCCAGAGTGTGAAGAACTGTGTACATAAGACATTTACCTTTGCACTAATTCTTTGAAATGCAACTGAGTTGAACTGCCACATTGCTCAAATTTCAGCTTTCACTTACAGTAATTTCTTAATGACAAACCTCACCATTCAGAGGTTATAAGAAAAGTTCAGGAATTTAGGTTATCAATCACGAAAAAAAGAAAAAGTTTTACTTGGGTTCTCCTTACCAGGATTTAGGGCCCACTTTCTCAAGCTTTTCTTTGCAACAAAGGACAAAACAAACTTACCAGAATTCCCTCATAAACTCTAAAACTCAAGAGTTACTCATTGTGGAATTTTCGAAGTGGGGCTTTAAAAAAGAAATCCCAACCGTGAAAAATTCAAAGTAAAAGCTTGAAATATGCATATAATTCTTGGGATCACACAATCACTAATCAAATATCAGTCTGAAATGATAACACTGGCTGGTGATTTTACTGACTTTTTCTATAAAAACTTGCTCAGTAGCTAAAATATGTTTTGTTTTTGATATCTTTCGTAAATCAGAAGGATCTTCTGTAGTTAATGTTGGAATATCTACATGACACAGACATCATGTACACAGACATCTGGAAATTTGATGAAAAGGCCACAGAGCAGCAGTCACCTGCTTCTTGAAGGTACCACCTGGGTTATGCAGGTATGACAGATACGGGCATCTGCCTCTACTTGGCTCAAATCAAACTTTCTCAAGTTGAGGATAGTATATTAGATGCAGTTATTTATACTAAATACTTTTTTTTGTTCCAGACATATCCCTACACCTTTCAATTTCCATGTGTGACATAAAATATAACATTCACATGGTAATGGATCCTGGTTTGGAAAATTTGGTTTACAATATCATTGTGCTTGAAAATGGCCAAAAACTGTGAGTGAGCTGTAAACGAGGAGAGATTCAATAGCAGAAAAGTGAAGAAACAGATGGACTTGTGAATGAGGCATTGAGAACAGGAATAGGAGTGTTGGCTTCTTATATTTCATAAACCATTTACTGTCAATATAATAATGAATTCCTTAGCTTTCAAATTCTTGAGAAAAATCTTCCTGCTTACTGAAAGTGGGAAGGAGAATTAGGTCATAAATGAACTACGAAGTATTCAGAAAACTTTCAACTTAGCTCATTTCCTCTTACTATTATGACAATATAGTGATAGTGCTGCTTTTCAGTTACACATTTTTAATATCATCTTACTGTCAACGTTATAACAATTTAAATTAAGAGTTTTATTTTATCTTTACCCGATTCCCTTTCCAAACCGAGGAAAGTACACAGAACTTATTATAGAAGACCCTTTCTGTCCTTTAGGCAATGATAATGATAAAGAAAACATTTTTCATGCTCAAGGAAAATGACAATTCCTTTTCAATGACTGTCAGGGGAGCTTAAATGACAAGCTGTGATGCAGTAATCTACAATCCTACTAATATTTTGCTTGGTAGATGTGTGATCAGAATTCAGAATTTCTGATACATCTTTGAATGCAACCCCTTTTTGGGTCAGATACTGAATTTTCAACTAAAGGTCAGGACAAATGCGTAGAAGAATAACTACATTCATTCAGCACAGAAAGCTAATGAAGAATGAACTGGATTATTTTTCACCAAACTGTCGCCTTGCTAATTACACACACGGTTAGTATGCTCTGTTATTTTATACTTTGAATAGCCCAAAATTGCAACAGCAGCATTCCCTGGGAAGCCCTTTTCCTACAATGCTCTTTGGTAAGTATTTAGTTGTTCCCTTTAGTTACATGTGTAAATTCTTTAGGTGAAACCATTAGAAGGCATCTGCACCAAACCCACAAGAGGTTGGTGAACAAAGAGAACTCTAAAAGTTGTTTCTATTGCAATTTCTCAGTCCAGATCTACAACTTATTTTTATATTTTTTGACATACTTCCTTATCTAAAAAAAAAATTGAAACAAGCTCAAAGAGCTTTATTAATTCAAATTAATTTCTGATAATTATTTCAAGAGAATTCTCATGATTTTTGATGAAAACTCAGTGATTTTTGTAAAACACTAGCATTTACTTCTTTTGAATAATGTTGGTTATTTTTTTGAATAATAATATTTTTCAATGAAGTTTTTCTGGAGAATTATATCAGGCTGTTCCTTAAGTACAAATACATATTGCATCCAAACAAGAGTCAAGTGTATTTTAAAGTTATCCTAGCAGCAATTGCTTGGCTTTCACCGAAGACTTTTGCAGATCACACTCCGGTAGGATATTCATTTGTATGTGGCCCTGCCTACTGCTTGTATGGACATCCAGAGCTCAGGTTGGACATTGCTAACAGTGAAGCAGGAGTGAGCCCACAACTTGAACAAGGTTGCCGAACATCTCCAGGAACAAAGCAGCTGCATGCCCACCTGGCGCCCAAAAGCTCTACCCACATGGTCAGCACAGTGCAGCTGCACGTTTGAGCTCAGAGGATCTTGAGGAAGAGTCTGTGTTTGTGCGTCTTGGCAGAGGGAAGTCCTCTGCTGGTGATTAAAATGCGTGAATAGGAAAGGAAAAGCTGGGGCACAACAAACTCACATAACCCGTTTGAAGCTCTTCTAGTTATTCCAAAATAGCTGTAGCTAAGCTATGACTTAAAACTGCAGCCAAAAACTTCAGGGCTTGGCAAAGTGGGGGCTCTAACTGCTTGCTGTGACAGGAGTGAAACAAGGTATTGAGAGGAGTCAGGAATGCCTCAACATCCATAATAATGAACATCTGCGTTTAGCACAAACAAACAAGAAATACCTCTCTCTGTAAGATACCATACATGTTCTTGTACATTCAGCTTTGAGGTTGTTTTCAGGCATATATCTGCAAGTTAAAATGTTAGTTCTCCATTTGCTGTCCTTTAGCTTTGGGGTATAAGTTTCTCAGACACTGGCCCTTGCCCCAGTGCCAGTCAGAAGAAGTGTGAGAAGGCACACAGCATCCTTCCTGATGGAGGAACAAGCTTTGCAGGCAGCTCCATAGATGATAAAATGAGAAGGAACAAACAGCTGTGCTGTTCCTGCACTTCAGTCAGTCATTTCCACATATATAACTAATGTTCTCACACTTTCATGTGTAGCTGGGAACTTCTTGATAAGCTTGTGGTCTACAGCATTTGCTAGCTGTGCAGAATGAGCTATGGTTTAGCTGGTGGGAAGGAGGATTTTCACAGAACATAGCTAACCCACATATTTCCTCTAGGCCAACACTTTCAAAGCAAACTACAGAAGGGCTCTGGAAAAAAAAATAATATTAGAAAAGAGTTTTACAGAAGTTACCTCTCTTCTGGCAATTTCCCTTGGTATATTTGGACTTTGTACCTCTAGGCTGAAATATGGACTGCAATACAGTAAATATCAGAAGCATATATAAATTGTAGCACTATATGAGTTTTTTGTTTTGAGATATCCTTATAAGATACTGAGATGCGTAGAATGTGGTTGCAAGGAACAGGTTTATCACATATTCTCTTATAACTGCTTGGCAAATCTGAAATCTTCTCCCAGAAGAACTTTGTATACACTAATCATGTGCATGCAGTCGGCTACAGATGCTGAGCAGAGGGGTTAGTAAACTAAACTATTGCTGTTGTCTTCACAGAGCTAAGCACCTCATTCATTTTATAATTTATTTATTCCTTTAGATATGGTGTATCAAAGTCCACTAAGGAAAAATAATAGATTGAGAATAGATAAATGGAAGATCTTCCCCACCTCTTCATACTCAACTGATACGTACTGCAGTTGCAAAGCTAATTGCAGTATTACTGCTGCAGTTACTGCTGCAAACCACACAAACTAGTACATAGCCCCTTCAGGGATAAACAGTAGCAAAACCCAGAAGATTAGTCATAACTGCACCTTTGGCACAACCTTGATGGAAGAAAGGTAGAAAGTCTGAACTAATTTCATTTCTCAATTAGCTGATTTTTTGGGGAACAAGATATTGCTTGTAATGGCTTTTTTTTTTTTTTTTTTCAGATAAGGAGTAGCTTTCAGGCTCTATCTCTGTCCATTATGATGCAGTTTCAAACACAATACATGAGAGAGGGGGAGAGAGAGAGAGAGAGAGAAGCACAGTCCTAGGCATTCTTGGCTTCATTACATTCTTGTGTTTGTTCATATCCATTTAAACTGTAATGGGATAAGGGAGCTGATAAGGAAGAATAATGAGCCAGATCAAAGAGAAACACATTTTGAAGTCTAAAACAACACAAGTAGTTTTGCATGTATTTGTTTCCAAATGTAGCTCACCACTGAAAGGAGAAAGCACAAAGTACTGGGGGGAAATCCTGAATTCCTGAAATCAAAATTCAAGAACTATTCTACCATCTGTTAAATATTGCATCCTGTTTCTAATTAAGCAGACACTAGTATTTGCAGACACAAACAACAACAAAAAAATAGTGTAGCAGAAAACTATTAAAAACGTAAATATCAAAGTAATTGACAGACACGTCTGTTACTTGTTGTGTGACAGGAACAGAGTATTTTTGAATGCACTTTGGATACATGTAATCTCAAAAATCAATCAATGCTATGACAAAGTTAACGTGAATACTACATGTCCACTGGGGAAAAAATAAAAGTCTTCCTTACCTGCTATTGCTTCAAGACTAGGGATTGCAATAGTGCTGTAAGTGCTAATGCATTTACAGGACCATGTGCGAACTAAGGTTTCCTCTGCATTTTCCAGGCCTGGCAATCTGTCCACGAAGAAAGAGCCCCACTGTTTAGATATATGGTAGGGAGCTTTAGGCTGATGTCCCTGAAATAAAAATAAGTAAATATATAAATGTACAAAAAAACCATAAAAATCTTTCTTGTCTATCCAACCACAAGCATTAGTTTAAGAAGTCTGACTTTCTGGGAAACCTATATTGCGTATCAGGAACAATGTGGCTTAAAAATGCTGTAAAACAGAACAATAACAATCCTACTCCTATACAGCCTTGAACTCAGGTTTACATAATTTATGGATTCCCTAGGGCATGAAAGTCACCTTTTGGTGAATATTTGGAGCACCTGAACAGCCCAGTACAGCTGGGAACTCTACCCACCAGAAAGGAGTGACTCTATAGGATGTTGAATGGTAGATGGAAGAATTGTGAAAAATGTAGTAGTATTTCACCTGTGGCCTTTTACATGTTTCTGAGCTGGTGAATGAGAACAGAGTCACAAGATCCATGGAGAGCCATTCAGTTCCCTAACAAACTATGAAAAATGATTTTTTTTCCCTGTATGTTTTCAGTAAACAACTTCAGACTCATTACGTTTGAAAGAGAGTGTTAAAGCAGCATTGGGAAAATCAATTTTGTTTTTGCAGTTCATCTTGAAACCCTCTATATATTGCCATGAGCAGCCAGAAAAAGCTCCAGGAGGCCTCTACAGAGAGATTAAAAAACGGAAAACAAAACTGCAAACCACACTGCAGAAAATCTGTTAAAGTCATTTCTGTGTAGTCATTTTCAGGATAGCAAAGCAAAGAACAGATATCCTAGTGTGTGCCTCCAGATTTGTGAACTTTTGTACTTTATTTTCCATTTAACCCCTTTCTTAGTAGTTTTGAGAAATTGCTGGAATAATTTGTATTTATGACAGGCATCTGTGGCTTTTGATCACAACAAAGCTGTTGATCCAGACAAAAAAAAAAAGTCAGTAAACTCAGAACAATTGTTTCAGTGATTTTGGGGATGAGAGTTGGAAAGTGATTTGAACAAATATAGATAGTGTTTTCTGTCTTCTGATGTAAATATGTAATGAAGCTTGGAAAAGCTTGGACAAAAACATATCTTTAATTTCTAAAATATCAATTTTACTGCTGTTCAGGAACAGTCTTTTTCTTTCTCACTTAGGAGTAACATAAAACTTTTTTTTTTTTTTCCCCAAATCTTATCTTGCCATGCAAATCCCAGGACTTCACAGAATTTATAGTCAAATGTAGACGCTATGCTGAGTTAAAATTATTTGCCAGCTGATGACACATGCAGCTGTTTAGGTGATTAATTAAAAAAAGCAAACACCAAAGCCCAATACTGACCCACACAAACATTTGTACAAAAGAAAGGGTCTTGTTTATTGACAAGAGAAAAAAATCTGAGGCTTCTGCTTTTTGAAATGAGTGATTGGTTCAAAAGGCAATTAAAATCACAGTCAGAGGAAATTATTACTATTTTTTTCCCTTCAGATATGTGATACTTAGAGTAGGAATTTCTTACTTTTTAAGGAGGAGGAAGATAAATACAGTATTTATAACTCATGCCCTTAATAAAACCAAGCACAGACACGAGCACTGTCATCAAGTCCCCTGATAGAGAACTCCCAATGTTTTGCTGCTGGCTTATTTCCACGTTTGGTAGCAAGGCTACATCCTCATCTCAAATCTGATAAAAAGTTGTCAAAACTTTGCCCATATACTTAGAGGCATCTGCTGTCACTCCCTTTGTCATTACTAACTGCTGCCTAGAAGATGTCTGCATCTCACCTGGAGTACACATAGCCCACATAGAAAGACAATGTGCCACAACGTCTATATATCTGCAAAATCAGACATAAGTTCCCTGGTAATATCCCCACTCCCCACACACCTGGAGATACACGTTCAACAGCAGGGTTGATGAGCTCTGGAAGGTCCCCCAGCCACTCCAGTAGGCCCTCAATGTGGAGTTTACTCTCCTTGTAGCGAGGCAAGTCCTGAGAAGTGCTATGCACCCCCTTCTTTCATATGTAAAACCCCCAAAGACGTGGTTTTGCTCTTACAAATACTGGTCAGACAGCAGGAGGAAGTTAGATGTTGATTATGTCAGATCAGGGTACAGAACCTCAAAGACTATGTCTAGACTTCAGAGAATAACGATGGTACAACTGTTCCACAAGACCCAAAGATTTCCACGAAATTAAAGCACCTGGGATACTTACTATCACCTTTACTTTATTAACTGCAGACAAATAGGGCCTGTTAACAGACCAGACAGCTTCAGCTAATGGGACCCTTGGGAAATACTGATTTGCCAGCTTACCAATGGCCTGTAGAAAATTGAAGTGGGCAGGGAGCTGAGCTCTGAAGTTTTACTCTGTTTGGTAAAGAAAAATAGATATAAGGGAGATGGGAGTGAAAAATCAAGCCTAAAAGCAGTGTATGTTTAGTATGTTATTATTATTATTTTTAAAGGCATTATTTAAATAGTGATTTGCTGTCTATGTCAGTGTCTTTGTACCAAGCAGGGGGCACTAGGGTTACTTTACTGCATTACCATAGACTGTACCCTGATAATGGGTGGCACCAATGGCTGTGTGCTTTGTGCCAAGGTAATAAAACCACCACTGACTCTTAGTGCCAGTAAAAACAATGCTTAAAATACAGTTTTGCCTGTATAACGGCAAATATTTGATGTGTTTCCACCAGCACAGCTGTGCTGGTAAGACCCACAACGAACAGATGCACCTGAGCAACACAGCCATGCTGTGTTAAGGACACTGTGTTAAGGGCATTGCTTTAACTGGCTGGGCTTTAGAGCAACCCACCAGGTTGTTCCTGACAGTACCGTTAGATTTGTGTTGAAGATAAACAGGAATATAGAGATGAACAGAGCCAAGAGGCCCAGAGCAATTGGCCCCTGGCTGAGGTCACTCAGAGGAGTCCTGGAAGCTCAAGGGCCTGACATCCCTGACAGCTGCTAGGTAATACTGTATAAATTGGGTTTGCCTTCTAACTGCAGAAATATTGTCTATATCTGCCACTGTCTTCTTCATTTTACTGCATTCATTCCTATAATCCCATTTTTTTTTTTACATGCTATCTCCTCTGTAATGATTTCCCTCGAAATCCTGGGATGAAATCCAGCTTTTCTTAGAGTTTTCATTGATGAAATTGATCACACATTTATAGAACAGAAGGAAAAAACAAAGCCTCCAGCCAAGCAAGCAAACCCCCAAATCTGGGGGGAATCTAGTTTCAACACAATGCTTGTTTTTTGTTTTGTTTTGTTTTTCCTTGCATGCTGCAATTCACTTAGGAGACGATAATTGCATGAATAGTTCTTAGTCTGCAATTCTCTTGCTCATTTGGTTATGACTCATACACTCAAAAGAACTGTATTTGTTTCCATAATTTCACAGTTGTGTGTATCTGGCTTATATCAGGCATTTAACTGAAGTGGAAAAGACAAAGACTGTTAATGAAAATGGAAATTACTAGGCTCCCAGTCTGTGTGCAAGGGGGTTGTTTTGTTCCCCCTCTCTGTTAGTGATGAAATACCAATCATGCAACTGAAAACAGTTTTTTTGTTATTTCTTTCTGAAAAATGCAATTGCAAATTAGAGGCAATACTCCATTTATTTAATAATATTTTGTGAAGAATGATAGAAGGGAGGATTGTGTCTTGAATTAAATTTTTAGTCCCTCTCTGCACACACAGCGTGGTATGCAAAATCTGCAATAGTATTTGTTTTTGAGAAATGAATGAGAAGGCTAATGAACAGTACTAAACCTAGTTTGCTGCTGCCTAATTTTCAAATAATACCTGACTTTGTCCAGTCCTTTGAGTTGGCTTTCCTCCCCTCTTAACCAAAGGGTTAATGGGAGAAGTTGATTAGGGGAATAAAAATAAAACTTTCCTGGGCTTGTAAAGGGAGTCTCTTTGAACTAGTCCAGTTAAGTTAGTAGCGTCCAGTCAACTGCAGAGATACGGATGTGACCTGTTGTTCAGACTCCAGTGAGCAGCATGGTAATGAAATAATACCACTGACCTACCACGGCCCCCTTGGTTCAGATTCCTTTAATCAACACAATTCATTTCTCCCTTGCTTACCCGCTGTCACTGGTAGCGGATGTAAACTGACCAGGGGTTTTGTGTGGTAGAGGTGGTGTGTCCCTGAGATGCTGCCATCTGTTATCATGACTGCCACAGTTTTAGTGAAATGTCAAACACCTGTCTAAAAGTCTCAATTTCCTGGTTGGTAACTGCAGCGATAGAGAAGATGGATCTTGTGAGGAGTCAGCCAGAGGTATTGCAACAAGATTAAAAAAAAAAAAAAAAAATCATCACCAAGGGCTTAGAAACACATCACTCAATAACTCTTGCTTTCCAGGAAAATAAACCTATGCTGTCTGCTTGTTTAAATATATATGCTTCAAAAGCATGTATTGAACACACTTTAGAACCAATGGTTGACTTAAAAAAAAAAAAAAAAAAATAAAATCTAAAGCTTACAGAGATGTATGTTGAAAGATGCGATACACTTGAGTCTCCAGTCAGAGAAAAAAAAAGATTTTAGGAGGATAATGACTTATTTTTACTACATAAATTAACTAAACTGAATTATATTAACCTCTGTAACACGGCTACTCATTGTTTCTCCCCCTCTTTCCCCCCCCCCTTTTTTTTTGAACTGAAGAACACATAAGAGACTTCACTTTTTCTCCCCCCCCAGCACTTCAGGAAAAAGACTAAACATTAATGACTACATTTCCTTGTTTTACTAAGTCAAATGTCCTTTGTTTAGAAATCAGGATAGTGGGGGAAAATATTAGATATGTCTAACCAAGAAGTAGATAACATTAGTAAATGTATTTCCTTACTCTTGTTATTTGGGGGCAGGTTTGCAGAGGTCCTGTACTGAAACTGGAACTAGATTATAGTTCCTCAGCATGACACGCTGGAGGTAGAACTCTGCCATCTGAGTGTCGTTCCTTACCTGCTTTGTTCTTCAGCAGTGGACAGAAGGATAAACTGCAGTAACATTTCACCGAGGGACCATTAAAGACTGGCAGTAATGTTAAGAGTCTGCTTCTCAGCTGTGAGCCACCTGGAAATTTTATTATTTATCTGAGGTAACTATCAGTAGGTCCCATTTGACCAGTCTTAGGAACAGTTCCTCTTATCTGAGTGCAGCTGTCATAAAAATAAATAGCCTATGTGGGAAGCAGCAAATGAAAAGTTCTTTGTATATGTGGAAAACACAAGTAAACTGTATTTCAGAGACAGTAAAAGAGTTTTAAAACAACCTAGTAAAAATTACAGCAGTGACGTGCAAGGAAGTGTCACGAACTGAGTGGAGTTCAGGTGCTTGACCTGATAAGCTGCTGTGAAACACAGGGCAGGTTCTTATTACTAGATAGAAGACTGTTTTATGAATAAAGGAGCATATGTACAGATCTTTTTCTGAGATGTGTGAGTTATCTCAGGGTAATGAAGGCTCTGTGGCACCCATAGAATACTGAGCTGGTACAGGATGGTGGCCAGGAGCATGTCTATGAGTGATGCTGCCAGCAGCCTGGTGAGATAAGCAGCCTCGTGCTCAGTACAGGAGGCTTTTCTGTAACTTGCTCTCTTCTGTTTTAGGAAATATCTTAAGGAACACTTACCTCATATTTTCCTTTCTTCTCCAAGGGCTCAGATTCTGTCTCTGCAGGCACCATAACTTTGTCCCCTAGAAGCTCCTCTAAGATGAAGACAGTTTCCCAGTTGCTATAGTGATGAGCTGGGAAAATATCTGAGTGCATGCTGTCACCAAAATAAACAACCTGTGATGGAATCAGCAAATTAAAAGGTCTTTGTATATGAGGAATACACAAGCAAACTGTACCTCACAGAGAGAGAAAAAGAGCTTTAAAACAACCTAATAAAAATTCCTCTGTGTTTACGGTTGGCCATGACAAACACAGATCTTGTTAATGTCATAGTTTGGAGTTTTATCTTCAATCAGTTCAGTGAGGAAAAGAACGGCTCTGCATCCCCTCCTCTCTCTGGACACCCTCCAGGGGTGCCCGTTTGGGACTAATCCACAGGACAGCACTGAGATGTTTGACTGACAGAAGTAGCCTGCCAGAAAGCAGTAGAAAAGACGAAAAGGAAAATGTACAGAGCAACTGGAATGCTTTTTGGATGACTGTGGAGACAAGGGAGAACACAGAGTGTCATCTTGATGATTCAGAACTTTTCTGCACCCAAGTGGTAACCTAACCACTATGGAAACTGGAGGCCACCTTTTCATTTATTTGATCTATTTCCTCAGGGAGATTGATTTTGTGATGATAATCTGATTCTCCACAGAACTATAGAAATGCATGACCATGCACTGAGAAGAAAACACCTTAGCTAGAAAGTTTATGTTTACCAATAAAAAAACCTTACATACTCCTTCCAGTTTTGGACTGCAATGTTTTAAACTTTTAACTCATCAGGAATAGTATGATGTTTTGGACTCTAGAACAGGGCCCATCATTACTAAATAATTGAGGAATAGTTGATTAACTGGAAGATGATGAAGAAGCAGGACACTTTAGTTGTAGTATATAACTCCTGAAGTTTTTGTCACACACCTAAAGAAGTATCAACTGCATCCCTTGCTTTCTTTTAGTACAGGGAGTGCACACAGAACTTTTCACCATGAACAAGGCAGGAAATATTATGCAGTGGGGAAGGTGTGGAGTAAACTTGCATTGTGCATTGATAGGCTATTGCTGTAATCATTAGTAATGAAGCAGAACAAAACAGTCAGCTTTGATGCATAATGGAATTGCCCCACCCCAAAGCAGTGTGTGCAGAACAAAAATTTATCACATCATTAAAAAACTTATCACATCATTAACAGTAAAACAAGATTATCTGGTGACTTTTATACTGAAACAGGGTATTTTCACAAAGATTTGATCACACTTTTAACATACCTTGGGATCCAGCTTGCCAGTCATCTTCTTCAGTAGTTCATAAAGATGGATAGCATTACCTTGGGAATACCACCCCGGCTTGTCCAGTGATAACAGAGCCTCCTGCTCCTCGTCATTCTCTGGAACCAACCAGCAAAATTGCCTGCTGTTAATAAGAGCAGCACATGCTTCTGCATTTGTAAGATGTGCAAGAAGCTGCCTGTGCACAGCTTGGAGAACGCAGTCTATTTTGACATGAAAACTGCTCCAGTGCCTGGTGAGAGGTTTGAGTCCTGGTACTGACTGTGGGCTCAGTCATGATGTCTGGTAGCTTGGAATGGCTTGTATACAAAGTGGCACTTAAGATGTGACCTTGCACACTATCTGTTCAGCAAGCAGGAAATAAAAAGGGGAGGAAGACACGTCTGAGTAAAGAAGCAGCTGAACCTAATCTGCAAGGGCTACAGAAGAGCTGAGGAATCAAAGCCATGGGCTTTGCCTCCCACGTGCTACAACAGTGAAGGTAGAAAATCACACAGCAGACTGATGGAGGAGCTGCTAAAGACCTATGAAGAACCATGAGATAGGACGGAAAATAACAACACGTACTTTTCTGACATGAAAATTAGTTGCTACTTTTAAACACTGACATAAATTCAATGAAACAGGCCGAGGTAGTTCTGGGAATTAGCCAGCCTTAGATCAGCACGTGCAATGAGCAGTTTCAGTAATCATCCAGTTTTGGGGAAGTGAACAGTGCTGGTGATGTAAACTTACCATATATCCAAAATGGCAACTGTCAGCAAACAGGAAGAATCGTTAGGATATGAAACTCCCAGGCTGTCCACTAACTGTGCCCCAAAGCAGCTGTATCTGTCCTGGTGCCCATGTAATGTTATTACTCATCCAGATCCATGTGCTATCGTCAGATGTACTCTTACCAGCTTCTTGCTGGAGCCCATATACTAGCCTTAGCGAAATGTTAAATTATAAAAATTTAATCGGAAATGTTAATATTAGTGTCTTTTGTCTGTCAATGTGGTTAAATGAAAGGGTCATTTTGTTATTCAGTCTCAATCAAATATTTCTATTTTATTGGTTAGAAACCAATACAGTACTTTGTTCTGGCTTAGGCAGAACATCAAGACTTTACTCTTTCTTCTGCTTTACAGACTTCTTCAAAGTAATTCAGATATGTTATGGAGAAGACCTGAGACAGAGAGAACAAACTTCATTCAGTTAGAGATTTCTGAAAACTGAAATGTAGATTTTGGAAGAACAGTGAAATGACAAGATGTCTTTATGTTTAAGTGCACATAAGATGTATATGGCATGGTAACATTGCTCCTTTTGAAGGAGAAAAAAAGAGGAAAAAGAAGTAAAGAGATACAGGCAGCCTACTGTCCTTTAGTATTATATATCTAAGAATTGGAATAATCACAGGATTTATTCTCAGGGAAAACAATTCTATATTAAAGGTGTTTTCTAAACTAGGAAAAAACAAAGAAACTAGGAAAAAAAAAGACACACAAATTCAAACTAGCAATTAGTGTAAAACTTGTGTGTAATTGTCTTTTCCTTTATTTTTCCTTCAGAAACGTAATGACAGTAAGTATAATAACATCCATGAAAAGAAACTTCCCCCATTTGACATTTCCTGGCCTTTAAATTACTTCTGATCAAACAACTTTTGATCAAACTGAAGTTGTTGAAGTCCAGCAAGTTTGTTTTATTTTCTCTGCATTTTTAGACATATTTTTAAGGCTGACTGACTAAGTAGACATAATTTTCAAACAGCATGGACATAGGAAAAGAGCACTTCTCAAAACAACGTTTTTGAGCTGCTACAAAAAGTTTCTTGAAATTTGCCAAAATTTCTGAAGCTATCACTGTCAATGACAATGATCTCTTCATTCATTCAGTCAGGAAATTGTAGAGAACAATTGAGGCATTAATAAAAGGATTTTTAGAATAACAATATTACAATTGCAAATATGAGCCCTATGTGTTACAGCAGCACCAGGTGGCTCCAGCAAAGATCAAGACTCTGCTTTGCTGCTTCTAAGGAAAGGCATGAGGGGCAGCCCTGACTGAAAAAATTCACTCTAATTACAAGGTAAAAGACCTCTCGCTCTGTGAGACCCATCACTGTCACCTCTAGCAATGGGATTCATCTCACTTAACTCGATGCATCCTGAAGTCGGGCTTCTAATTTATAGCTATAATCTCAACTAGCTGGCCAGGTTTTCTTGGTAGGCAAAAAAAGTGCAAGAAACACTTTCTAGAGGTGCCAGCTCTGTAGAAGAAAAAGACTTAATTAAGCTAGAACTTCACTTTCAGGCAGTGAAATTAGGGAAAATTTCAAGGCTTGGTTTCTTCCTCTATACATGGAGGCAGCAAACAGCATCAAGATGTTTAATTAATTACAGGAACACCTTGATTTTGGAAGGAGCTTCAGAAAGCTGATGAATTAGGAAAGCTCCTTTATATTTCAGATGTTAAGTTACTGAGATAATGGATCAGGCAAACCTTGCATCTTGAACTATTTCATATGGCTGCTCATGCTCAGACAGCTAGCTCAAATGTGTGGTGACTCTGTCAGTTTTATTTATACAATCTTAAGTGGGAAAAAATGTACACCTCAACGGTGTTTCAGTTGCAGCAAGACACTAATAAGAAAGGTTTCTAATCCAGTTCCACTTTCCCTGTGGCAAAATATAGTCAAGAAAATTATTCTTTAGCACTGACTGTTAAGGCCTCTTTTGGTTGTTCTGCCATGTGAAGAAAAATACATAACAGCTTAAAAACCATTAATGACACAATTGGCTTTGGCATTTTATTATTTCCTTGCAATAGTGGCTACATGACAGTGCTAAAGAAATCCAGCTATGTCCTGAAATAACTCTGCATAAATGTGATTATGAGACCTCCTAATGTATCTTAGATATTCTGAGTATAATTTTGGCTGCACTCACACAAGAGAAAAACTGCTGCTGACCTTCCTTCTATCTTGCTGTTATTGATTCTTAAAAGTTCATACAAAGGTCAGAAATGCTATAAATATTACTCCAACAGGAAGCCACACATATACAGGCGGGGATGCTAATGCTTCAGGTCTTACAACTTGGGCAGAAAGGGAGATGTCCTGACAATTTCAAACAGACTGGATAACCAGAAAGAATTTCTCAGATGATTTAGATAGAGCAACTTGCTTCCTTCTGAAGTCTAATATATCACTACAGCCTGGATTCCTGGCTGCAGACTAAAAGCATGCCACAACAAGAAATGCAAAAGCATTAAGTAAGTAAAATTAAAATTATTAAAACTAGAAAAGGATTCTATTAACACAGTCACCCAAACCTCAGCAGTGATTCAGAGCAATTTTCCTGAGGGGCAATTACTGTTCCTTTGTAACAATAACAACAAAACCTTGCCTCACGCTGGGGTAGTATTAGTACTGCTGGAATGGCCATTTGCATATTACTGTGTCTAACAGTTTAGGGAACATATTCTGATTCAGAAATGTAATTCATAAGCAGATACGTATTTTCAGATAAACTAACACAACTCAGTATCCTTCTTTTCATCATTTTCTTAACTGTACATTGCAGGTTTATAACATGGGTCGAGGAACATCTGGTTCCATTCTAAACAAATATGCAAAAAGTAATCAGTGAAGCTTATTCCCATTCAGCTGCCGACTGATGGTAATTTACTTTGGCGCAGAATGGTTTATTCGGAAAGACTGCACACGCATGCTTACTGTGGCGTGCTTTGCTATCTGTTTACTGGTCACACCTGCCCAGATGGAGGCCTGAACATGTGAGCTCTTGAGGTTATGTCCAGACTGAGAGTTAAGCCAGGGTCAGAGCCTGCACTGAGGGTGATTTTCACCAGCTCATCACCCGCAGGACCACCACCCCACACTGTTGTTTAAGTTGTGTGGCCACACAGTGCGTGTTAGTCACACGACAGGGCGAGAAACCACTGGTGATTCACCAGAGGGCCCGGGGAGATCTTGCACTGACGTGGCTGGGCAGACGCTGTGGTAAGACACAAATTCCAAGTGCTTGTGGGTGATGCCAGCCTCAGAAGTGCTATGGCTCAACTGAAGTCTGTGTGCAGCTCCCCAGTAGTCTGTTTCTCTGCCTTCCTATCCTTCTCCTGATATTCTTTTACTTGTTACTGGCAATTTTTGTATAAACCTAGTTAGGTTTATTAGGGTTACTGGTATTTTTTGTTCCTTTGAGCTGTGCAGTAGAATAAAAATGTTGCCACTCGTGTATATACCTGTTCTTGCCTCCTCCTAACAATGGGCCTGTCACTATGTGTAGGCACGTAGCACAGATGTGTGTATGTGTTTACCGAAGCTCTGCTTACAACCTCAAGGGGCTATTGTAAAACAAATAGATATTATGACCCACAACTGTCATATGCCTCTCTGTAATTTAAAATAATGTCATTTTTGGCCCTGAGGACATTAATATAAAAGCTTGTTTTTGTTCCAGCCTGGCTTGCAAGCACAGTCTGATCCTAGATGGCATTTCGAGTTCACTTCAGAAATACAAGGCCTCATTTTCAGCAAGTGACTTGGGGCAGGGAACCACATCGTTTTACAGGTGAGACAGAATGGACCTGCCTAAGAAAAATCCCTCTGGGGCTTCTTCCAGTAGTAAGGGTAATGAGACAGGATGAGATAAGTTGCCCTACAGACCACGTCCTCCACAAAGAATCACGATCTTGATGGAGGCAAGATTTCATCCCAAATGGGCCTAACAGGTGATGGATAATGTGCAATAGCACCACAGCAGCCCTCATCAAGTGACACTGCTGATGCCTCAGTGGGGCTAACCCCTTCCCTCTGCTTGGATGGAGGCAACCTCGTTCCTGCATGCACGCCTGCTCTCGGGGCGTGGGATGTGCTGGGGAAGCAGTGCCCGCACTGCTGTGGGCTATTGGCCATAACCATGGTGGTTCAGGGGCACAGGTCGGACATGGGAGCAGCAGGTGAACACATGGATGCTCCTCCACTGCTAAGGCACAGCAGTTATTCAGTTCTTGCTACTCTGAGTATGCCTCTGACAAGCTGGAGCTTATTGCTTACAACCCATTTCCTCTCTACTGTAAGAACTGAGGTGAGATGGAGGCAAAAAATAATGCCCAGATATCCACTATACTGAAAAAAAATATTTAATGAATTGCTGAAATTTCACTGCTCTTTTCCCTTTTCACTGGGAGATCCAGCAGCTACTGAGACTCTGGAATTGTCTGTCCTTCCCTCAGAAATGTCCCAGAGGAGAGGATTAGTTGCTAGTCAGTATTCATGCAGGTATCATTGTGTGTTTTGCCATCCCTGAAAATACTTCTGTGCCCTGGAAGCAGCTTGAGATCCATCTGCCCTGCACACGCACCAGTGCTTGCTAGCCTCCTATCTGACTGGATGGCTGCAGGAAAGTGATAAGGAACACATTATTCCTGTGATGAGGTGATGAAATAAAAGTTTAAGGCTTCCAAAGTGACTAGTGATTTTGGTTGTATCCATTTTTGGCTGTTGTATCTTATTTTTCAGAAAGTGCCGAGCCTGAAGATCAGTTCCCCTTCCTGCCTTTGCACCATTCTGCCTCTTTGCAGTGGATTGTAGTTGATGAGACAAAAAATGAACTAATCAAAATTAAAATTCACCTTTGAAAACTGGATTTTTTTTCTTTTAATTTTATGTAGTCAGTGATACAACTTTCTTTTCCTCAGTAACCCCAAAATATACATGCTCATTCTTGCGGAGAACTAAATAACAGTATTAGTTAAAGCTGGAAATATTCCAAAAAAAACACTATAAACAAAGCAGAGGAAAGTATGGATACCATCCTGTGGAAAACACACACAAACAAAAACCCCATACCTATTTCATAATAATGCATAAGTACTACTTATCTAATTATTAATGCTTCATTTTCTCATGATGGACTTGTGTGTTTGTGCTCTTTTATAAGGCCTAATAAGACCAAAGTGAAAGATATAGTAAACTTTCAAAGTGCCCTGGGCATATAAAAGCCACAAACTTCTTAGAGAAATGAATTTTAAAAATGTTTTACAGTTTTAGCTCCACTAAACGTCTTTATTTTGATTGAAATCAGCACTACTGCTAAAGATTAATTGTGCCAGGCACTAGGGTATGTAGAGACAAGACTGAAGTTTTACTTGTTTGCAAGAAAATCACTATTTCCTTTATAGCAGTTAGCAAGTAAGTTTCTTTAGGAAGTTTTGATTACTGTGTTACAGGAACTGAAAATAACTCATCACTACAGATTTAGCAATTTGTTTTCAAATCTGTCAAAGCATTAATTTTATACCTTCCCAAGAATAGTCTGGCTAATGAACAAAGCATTTCTATTTAAAACATTGAAATGATGAAATACAAGCAAGGCCTTCTTTTCCTTATTTTTGGTAAAAGATTCATCTGCAAGTTCATTTCTAGAATGAACTCTGTTCATGCATGGATTTGGTGAAGCCTTTTCTATAATTTTATTAAATGTATCTATAACTCACGGAACTTCTATTTTGGAAGGGTAAGAGGGACAAAAATACTGAGTTTCATTTCTTTCTTGCATACATTTTGTAAGCTTTTTGTTTATTTGTTTTTGTTTTAACTGGGATCTTTGGGAGGGTGCCACATGACAAGATAATAAAGGCATTCCCTCCCCGGAACTGTTGCATTCTGGACCTCATTAGTTTTGTAGGCAGACTCCAGAGCCTCATAAATGTGGAGCTTCCAATATCCAGACAAACATCCCCGAATGTCTCTATCAATATTAATATTGTAGTTCTCCTAGAGGACATATAATTATGGAGAGAGACAAGCCTTTCCAGAAACCATTTCAAATTCAAACAAGCCAGGAGAGGAATGGTAACTGAGAAATCAAAATAAAACATATAATCATTTCAAGAACATACAGTTAGTTCAGTTCAAGCAACTGTCTATAACTTTTCTTAACAGGTTCTGCTTTGCTGCTGTACAAAAATTTGACATTTGCAAAATGCCCTTTCTTTTACTGAAGTACTGTCTATCGATCATACAATCAGTACGAATTGAACTAATTCTTAGGAAATAGGAGTTTTAACTAAGCAAGCTATTTTTCTACCATGCTTGTATTTAGAAAGAGGCAGCTCCAGCCGTGGAGAATTTGCAGACTGAGAGGTTGCTGTCCGAGGAAGCGCTGCCCCAGGGACATTGCAGAGTCATGCAGAGCTCGAAGCTCTGCCAGAAAGACAAAGGATCTCTTTGGCCCTGTTCAGCTGCTAAGAAGCTCTTCTTGGGTTATCTTCCAGAAAAGTTCTTTGCTTTTGAAATCGTGCTAATCTAAACCAGAGTGGTTTAACCTGAGCAGTGATTGGAGACTGTTGTGGCCCATTGTGGACTGCATCTCTAAGTACTGAGCTGTGTGGCTGTATGGGGAAACAGCACCGTTCCTCTCAGGAAGTTGTTATGGCTGGCAGCATTTGGTTGTACTAATGACTAAGTACTGTGTGAGAAGCTCAGCTTTTTGTGTAAGATGGCCAAACAAACATTCCTTGAAGTTTTCAGGAAAAGGGAAGTACTGGAGGGAAGCGTAGATGAGATGAGGGCCACCAGCCAAATGTTCTGACCTAACCTCTGAATGCACACAACATATCTTCCTTGCACTAAGCAGGCTGCTATCATGCAGCTGAATGTAACTTTCTAAGTCTCTCTAACAACACCTACTGAAATAAGACTCACTGGAATTTGCTCTTCTACACTGAAAATCAGGACTGCAGTGTGGTGGGGAAAAACTTCCTGCCATCATTTACCTCAAGCTCTGACACTGAAAGTAAGTAAGAAAGTAAGAAAGAAGGAAAGTTCTTTAATCCTGTTATGGCAAGTTATTTTTTATTTTTATTTTTTAAATATATGTATATCTTAGTATTTCAGGTATAAACCTTATTATGTAAAGTGAATAGACAATTTGATACAGCTGCTGCAAGGAGCCTGTGATTTTAATTTCTTAATTTCCCTAAATTCAAATAGTATAATGATCATGAAGTAGACAAGAGCATGCATAGTTATTGCACATACACATTTGCTCAGAATACAGAATAGACATTTTCATTAATTCAGTTTTTAAAAATGTACAGCACATGTATTATTCATTTATGATATATTATTAAAAACTAACATGGCAAAGTTGAGTTATAGTTCATATGAGAGTTCCATTTTTTTGTTGTTGTTTTGTTTTCCTTATTACCTAAAATCCTTACTTTATTTTTATTAATTAATTCTTTTTCATATTCTAGCTCTTCTAATATCAGCTATGTCTGATGGGTGGGGAAAAATTCCAGTTTTACATCAACCTTTAAAGACTAACTCAAAATTCAAAACTTCATAATTAAAATTTGAATTGAAATAATAATCAAAACAAACAAACAAAGAAAACCCTCCCTTCTTCTTAATCATTAAGAAGGTAAAAACATTTTCTTAATCTGTTGAGAAATGCTAGAAGACATCTACAGGGCTTGTTCATATAAGTTATCTTGTAGAAAGGATTAACTAGACAACACACTTTTTCAACTCTTATCCACTATCTAGATGATTTGATGTTGAAGTTTTGCAGCTATATATATATATATATCAATTTATACATATATATCCATATATGTTTACACATAAATATATGTAAAAAAGTGGAGCATATGGGTTGCATGCTACCACTCTCATTAGCATGAAAAATTGTAAGGAAGAGCAGCAGTGTCAGTCCTGGGTCTGTACAGTTTATTCCAGCACAGAATATAAATCATCTATGTAAGCTGGGAAATATAGAAGGAGGTATATAACTGAGACATAGAAAGTGAAGACAAATTCCTCATTGCATAAGTTCTCAATGCAGGAATTTGCTATTTCCCTGTCCTAGGGAGCATGCTGCTTGCTCACCTAGAAAGTGTCTTAGCTGCACTTGCTTTGCTCTCCATACTTACATTTGTTACTTACTAAATTTATAAGATTTTAGAGATTGTGTTATTTCAATGTCTAAAGTAACACGTATCTCTCCCCTTTAGGAGAGAAGGAATGAGAGGGAACAAGTAATTGCCTACATTTAAAGCAGTGAAACAGAATGGAGATAAACACAGAAGCAAATAGGAGGCAGCTTTACAGAGGGAACTAACAGAGTGTTATGCATTGCACAAGTTCTGCAACATGCATCTCAGCAGAAAAAGTAAGTCTCTTCTGTATTCTCCATTAGGAGATACAGTATAACTCCTGAGAATGAAGATTATTATTCTCTAACACTTCAAATTTGAGTTAGCATCATGTTCTAATACATGTTTTTGTGACAACTGTATTACTTAAATTATCTTTTTTTTTTTTTTTTTTTTTTTTTTTTTCCTGTTGAACTGCTTATCTAGAAGTCATAAACTATGGAAAAAGCAAAATTATGTATCTTTGAATATACACTTTATTAAAATATTTCCTAAAATTTATTTCAACTACCACATGCATTTTGTACTAGAAAAGAAACAACAAAACCTTCCATGTAATTTGGGGAATGAAACGTATCCACACTGCCTTCTGGCTGTTAGTGTCTGTTCAAGCATACAATAGTTGTAGATAGTTGTTATTAAAACCTGGCTCAGCCTGTCCCCTGACTCAGAGAACAACCCCACCCAAGCCCAGGACAGCTGCCTTTGCCCAGTGCTGCTGCTGAGCCTGGAGAGGTCAGGGCGGGTGGCGAGCGCCTTCCTGCAGCACAGGAGCCTGGGCTGGGCACCTCCTAATGCTGGGCAGGGGCTGAGGCCCCCAGCTGTGCTTTGCCTGATTCACTGGTGGTGACAGGAAGATGTGGAACTGGTTCATAAATAATTCCTGTCCATCCCTCTTATTAAAACTTTTTTTTTTTTTTTTTCATCGAGAAGAGAGGAGAGGACAGGAGAGGAGAGAAATTAAAGAAATACATCCTTCCACTTGTCTATATAAGGCATGCATGCTGGCATCCCTTTTGAATCTTACAACCTGTGACAGAAGCTAGGCAGAAGGGAAGGACCAGGTACATGTGCACACGAAAGACATGGAAAGGTGATGGCAAGGTCAGTCTTGAGGTCTGGAGACAATTTCATGGCCCTGTGGACACAAGTCATTGGATGGATTCACAGGAGGGGCAAAGAAGTTGGCAAGATTAGAACAACTGGCAGGGATTTCAGATGCTTATTCAGGCCTGCTCCAGGGCTAGACGTGTGTCCAAGGTGTCAGGGAACATCACAGTGAACAACAAAAAACTTGGTTCCTAAAAACTATTAAATCAGTTGAGTTATAGTGTAACTTTTTAGTTAATAAACTAATTGAAAAACATTAGGGAAATTAATGTTCTAAGAAAGTGGTAAAACTTTTATGTGTCAAACACTCACTGTAACTCTCAGAACAACATAACCAGGCTGGAAATGGCAAGGAAGAAAGGAAACTATTACTTTCTGAGAAAGTAAGCTTAAGCTTTGATGAGGAGATTAACATGAAAGATTTGCAGTACTGTTTTTTTGAAGAAGTGAAAGGGATGTGATCCCCAAGACGTTCCCTATAATTCTGCAGTTCCTTATCTATGCACTTTGTGTGGTTTGCAAAACCACTCAGTGTCTAAGTGAACATGCAATTTACCTTGTTTCTCAGAATCAAGAGCATTATGCCAGATCTCCGTATGTAGGAATTTCACAGATAAAATCTCCTGCTACTATTATTCCAGAAAAAATAATCATCTTGGAATGCTCAGCATTAGTCTGGCAGTATCTCAGACACCTGGGATCTGTGGACAGTAACAATATATAAATTCATTTTGCAGCAGATAAGAATCAGTTCAGAATGAATGTGTTTACTGATGAAGAGAAAAAGTCCTGTGGTTGCTAACTCTACCTAGAAAAACATGCAACATACATATTTAAGTTTAAAACATCTGGAGTCCTAGGTGAACAATAAAGACTGAAAAACAAAGAGAGAAAAGAAGAATATGGTACATCACTTTTACCTTTTCCTGAGCTTTCAGTTTGTATGAAATAATTCCCTTTTGAACATCAGCTCCAGAGGGCTTGCTGCTGACCAACGCAATGTCCCCTGATTGACTGTCAGCCAAGAAATGTCCAGGCTTTGTGGTCTCTGATGTTTTATTTGCCCTGTACTGGGTGGGAGAAGCAGAGCTGCTGTAGAGCTAGTTAGTTCTCTACTCACCTAAGATGTCCCCCATGCACAATAAGTCCACACCTGTTATTTATTGCAGCTCTTCTATGCCACTTACCACTTTCCAACTCTCCCAAGTGCTTCATAAACATAAAGTAAGCCTCAGGATTTAGAAACTGGGAAACCAAGGAAGGGGTTCAGTGTCAAAGCACACCACATCTCAGTGCAGGCTTTCCACATGATTCCTCTAAGTGTTCTCAGCTCTTTTGCAGGTCTTCCTAACCAGCTCCTTTCACTATTTGCTTCCAATATCAGGTCTGATGCCTGCAGTACAAAAAGCAACATGTGCTTTCTGTGAAAAACAATTCTACAAACTAACCTTAATAAAAGCTTGACATTCTGGGAGAACACACAAGAGAACTCTAAAGCTTCTTAATGAAAACCAGCACATACAGATTCATGGAAACTATGCTGAAGAGAAGCTTTCTGCAGTGGTTGCCAGCTCCCAATCTGACGGGAATGTACAACACACAACCCTCCATTTTTGCTCTACTACAAACTGCCTCAATCCCAATTTCCAAATTAATGAAAAATCAAATGACAGTGTAACTCTTTACCAGGTGCTTTGTCTAAGATAAAAATAATTACACAGAGGACAAAAATAATAAAAAATAATAACTTTCCTCACTTACTGTTTACATATATATAATCTACGACAAAGGATATTTTTTTCTCTGCAAAGTTGTATTGGTAAATCTACCAATGATGTAGATTTTTTTTTCTTCCAAAAAATTCCTTGTGGAATTTGACAGTGGTTTAAGGACTATTATGTGAAGTTCAAGCTAAATGTGCACCAACTAAATTCACACAGCTTTGCACTGAGTCTTAGTACATTAGTAAACGTTTACAAACTTGTACTGATCTATCCTGCAAGCAGCCAGACCTTAGCTGCTGTAGGCATGGGAGTAGACCGTTTTTTTTTTTTTAAACCAAAATAGACCTCTGTGATTTTTGACCTAGGAAATCACCGTTACGACGCAGTTGTCTGTCAATTTTTTACTTAACGGAGAGGCTTGCAACTAAATGGCAAGAATTTGTTTCTGAATACTATCTGGCAAGAAGAGAAACCTACTAAGACAACAATGGAGTAACATCCTATTTGTAAACAGAAGTTGAGTCTGATAATCATCTGTATGAGTTAATAAGCTTTCCATTGAGACCTTTTCCATTTCATGGACGAAATAAAATGTATTTGTTTAACCATCTTATACTGAAAATGCACAAAACAGATCAAAAGGAAATATACATTCTCTTAATCCCAAAATAGCAGTTGACTTGCACGTTTTTTTTTTTTTTTTTTTTTTTTTTTTTTTTTTTCCCCTAATGTTCCTTTCAGTCCTATCGGATTTCCAATTTAGTTCTGACTTCACTCCCCAGTCCTGGACAGATGCTCTTATGCGTGCTTAGAAATAGAATGAAGATGAAAACAAATATTTTGTATAACCAGAAAGAATACTAAAAAAAAAAAAAAAGAAGTTATATTCTAGAGTTGCTATTCTGAGTATTGAAATATCTATATAAATAATTGTTATACATTCTTCAGGTATTATATTATCATTGCCTGAGCTCCCATGCACCACAAGCCACTTGATCATTAATACTACATCTTAACATTCTCTTCAGTTAATCAAATTAAGCAAGTTCACATCTCCATCAAATGTAATCACTTAATCAGCCCTTTCAAACTTTCCATATTTTTATGCAAGTGTAACAATGAGAACTGAAGTTATTATTTCAGAAATGGTCCTAGTAATGCTGCGAAAAGTTCCTTCTGCAAGCCCTACTCATGTACGGAAGATAATCATTTCTTTTTTTTTTTTCTTCCAAATAGAATTGGGTCTTCACATTCCGTAAGAAATGCCAAATCTTTTTCAGCATCACACTTTATGTTAGAGTATTATCGCACTATAAATGTGATCTACATTGAGTGCTGACTACTCTGCTTCTAAATCATGCATTTGGCTATGTTTTCTCAGAGACTATGGAAGAAAAAATCATCTCCCCTTAATAATATTTTCATGTGTTGGAGAAGAATTCCCTTAAGCCACAGAAGTCTGTATGCTGAACACAGTTTTGTTTGAAATATGAACTGGTCATTTAGGTATTTTGGCTTTGGTTTTAAAAATACAGGCTAGGATACGACAATTCAAGTTCTGTGGGAATTCACTTCATAGAGAGGGTAGGGCTGATAGGCCTTTTGGCTGTCTTATTGCTGTAAAAAAAAAAAAAAAAGACTTTTTGGATGAATTGGGTTTCCTAAGCATGGCAGCTTTCATGCCTTATCTCCCCAATACTGCTGTTGCAATCCAGATCAAACTCTAGTTCCATTCTCTGCTAATATCCTGAAATAAATGAAAATAGAAAGTGACTTTAAAATTATGACTGAGAATTTTCTATCGATCCTGACTTCTAATGGCCTCCTTACCACATGGTATATGTGTTGAAATATTTCAATACAACTACTGTTATTAACTCTATTTGTAGTTTATATAACCACTCTATGTTGTTAAAACAACTGTTATTTTTAAATGATGATGTATAGCAACCACATTTAAAGCATCATCACAACTTACAGATTTAGCAATATATTTCCCAGAAATAGGTTCTTTAGTAAACTTTTTCTAAGTATACAGGCTTGGAAAACTTAAAATAAACTCAAAATTCACCAGATCAGCAAGGTTTGACATACTTGACTATGAAGAAAATTTCTTCCATTAAAATTAAACATAAGCATGTTCTGATAACCAATAACCAATTTTAAGAAATCATTGGTATAGAACTGTCTTCTAACACAAAGACCTGTTCTAGCTTACTGCTTTTTGATAACTTGAAATTATTACTGAATAATTATTGTATTATTTGAAAATGTCAGTGTAGACCACATCAAGTTAGAAGGTCCAACTCCTTAAACTTATAAAGAATATATTACTGAACCATAAACAGTAAATCCAGAAGGATTAATTGCAATTCTGTTATCTTAACTTCTCCATTATGAATCTTTGGAAAGAGCTAAAAGGATTTTCACAGTCAAGACTCTCATTGAGTCCTTATGCAAACATAGTTTACAATTCCTCACTGCTTCTGGATTAGGACATTAGAGATCTTCATTAAATATGCAGATCTGCCAGAGATAAGATTATGGGTAAGTCATTCAATCTTTTTCAGTTTCTTGGCTCTAATAGAAAAGCTAGTATTTTTGGTTTTCTGACAATTGTTTATCTCTTTTGCCCATGAACTTCTTGAAGACAGAGAGTGACTCTTATCATGTGCTTGCACAATACCTTAAACAACAGGGTTTTGAGTTTTATCCAAGCCTTAAATATAATGTAATAAAATCAATAACTAGGATTTTGCAATAGTGTTAGTTAGTTACTGCAGCTCCTTTTGAAAATGAAATGCTCATGCCATAGACAAAGAATTCTGTTTTGGACAATTTGGCAATTATGCTAAACATGTTTTCCAGTTTTAACAAAAGGAATATTGTTTATATGCAGTTTTGAAAGCTTTAGCTTTCTTTGAAATAGCTTTCCATAATATTTTTATCAGTTTAGTGCAAAACACAGTATTTAATATCAAAGGTAATCAGCTGAAGCAACCCCTGCTGTCTTTACACAGAAGTACTTTGCAGTTTTCAGTGTTTTGATTTTTGGATGAATAACTTCTTATTCCTTTTATCCTCTGTGGTACTTTGAACAGTATGCAAACATATAAAGAACTTGGCTTGAGACATTTATTTCATTTTTTTTTCTTTTAAATAAGGATAGGCATTGGAGAATGTATCTACAGTTCAGCATTCATCTTCAAAAACAAACAGATGCCCTATTTCAAAGACTATTTAATTTTTTATTTTTAAATAAAAAAGGAGTTGTTTGTGAACAATAGGGGATATAATGGGGCCTAGTTTCATCTGAAGTTGTGTCTTGCAGTTGGATTTGCTGAATGTCAATAGGGTTTAGTGTCTCATGGATGCTTTTCCAGTAGCTAGGTCATCTGTAGCCAGACTCTCCTGTGTTGATACTTAGATATCTGTTGAGGAATCAGTTTACACTGTACCCTTTCCTTGATCTGGGACAGACAGACCATACACCCTCTTTAGTCTGTAGAATCACAGAATCACAGAATCTCTAGGTTGGAAGAGACCTCAAGATCATCGAGTCCAACCTCTGACCTAACACTAACAGTCCCCACTAAACCATATCCCTAAGTTCTACATCTAAACGTCTTTTGAAGACTTCCAGGGATGGTGACTCAACCACCTCCCTGGGTAGCCTGTTCCAATGTCTAACAACCCTTTCAGTAAAGAAATTCTTCCTAACATCTAACCTAAAACTCCCCTGGCGCAACTTTAGCCCATTCCCCCTCGTCCTGTCACCAGGCACATGGGAGAACAGGCCAACCCCCATCTCGCTAGAGCCTCCTTTAATATACTTATACAGAGTGATAAGGTCACCCCTGAGCCTCCTTTTCTCTAGGCTGAACAAGCCCAGCTCCTTCAGCCGCTCCTCATAGGACTTGCTCTCCAGGCCCCTCACCAGCTTCGTCGCCCTTCTCTGGACCCGCTCAAGCACCTCGATGTCCTTCTTGTAGCGAGGGGCCCAGAACTGAACACAGTACTCGAGGTGCGGCCTCACCAGAGCCGAGTACAGGGGGACGATCACCTCCCTAGCCCTGCTGGTCACAGTGTTTCTGATACAAGCCAGGATGCCGTTGGCCTTCTTGGCCACCTGAGCACACTGCTGGCTCATATTCAGCCGACTGTCCACCATCACTCCCAGGTCCTTCTCTGCCTGGCAGCTCTCCAGCCATTCCTCTCCCAGCCTGTAGCTCTTCTTGGGGTTATTGCGCCCCAGGTGCAGGACCCGGCACTTGGCCTTGTTAAACTTCATACAGTTGACCTCAGCCCATCGGTGCAGCCTATCCAGATCCTCCTGCAGAGCCTTCCTACCCTCAAGCAGATCGACACACGCACCTAGCTTGGTGTCATCTGCAAACTTACTGAGGGTGCACTCAATGCCCTCATCCAGATCATTGATGAAGATGTTAAAGAGGACCGGCCCCAGCACCGAGCCCTGGGGGACGCCACTAGTGACTGGCCTCCAACTGGACTTGGCTCCATTTACCACAACTCTCTGGGCCCGGCTATCCAGCCAGTTTCTAACCCAACGAAGCGTGCGCCAGTCCAAGCCAAGAGCAGCCAGTTTCTTGAGGAGAATGCTGTGGGAAACGGTGTCAAAAGCCTTGCTGAAGTCAAGGTAGACCACATCCACGGCCTTTCCCTCGTCCACCCAGCGCGTCACTTTGTCGTAGAAGGAGATCAGGTTCGTCAAGCAGGATCTGCCTTCCATAAACCCATGCTGACTGGGCCTGATCGCCTGCTTGCCCTTCAAGTGCCGCATGATGACTCCCAAGAGGATCTGCTCCATGAGCTTCCCTGGTACTGAGGTCAAACTGACCGGCCTGTAGTTCCCCGGGTCTGCCCTCCGGCCCTTCTTGTAGATGGGCGTCACGTTTGCTAGCCGCCAGTCAGCTGGGACCTCCCCCGATAGCCAGGACTGCTGATAAATGATGGATAGGGGCTTGGCCAGCTCCTCTGCCAGTTCTCTCAGTACTCTTGGGTGGATCCCATCCGGCCCCATCGACTTGTGCACATCCAAGTGCCGTAGCAGGTCACCAACCAGTTCTTCGTGGATGGTGAGGGCCACATCCTGCTCCCCGTCCCCTTCCACCAGTTCTGGGTACTGGGTATCCAGAGAGCAACCGGTTTTACCACTAAAGACTGAGGCAAAGAAGGCATTAAGCACCTCCGCCTTTTCCTCATCTCTTGTAACTAAGTTTCCCCCCGCATCCAGTAAAGGATGGAGATTCTCCTTAGTCCTCCTTTTTGTGTTGATGTATTTATAAAAGCGTTTTTTGTTATCTTTAACGGCAGTAGCCAGCTTGAGCTCCAGATGAGCTTTGGCCTTCCTAATTTTGTCCCTGCACAGCCTCGCTACATCCTTATAGTCCTCCCTAGTGGCCTGCCCAATTTTCCAAAGATTATAAACCCTCTTTTTCCTCCTAAGCTCAAGCCACAATTCTCTGTTGAGCCAGGCTGGTCGTCTTCCCCGGTGGCTCATCTTTGGGCACATGGGGATAGACCGCTCCTGTGCCATTAGGATTTGCCTCTTGAATAGCACCCAGCCTTCCTGAACCCCTCTGCCCTTCAGAACCGCCTCCCATGGGACTCCACCAACCAGTGTCCTGAGCAGCCTAAAGTCAGCCCTCCGAAAGTCCAATACAGTGGTTTTACTGGTTCCCTTCCTGGCCCCGCCAAGAATAGAGAACTCCACCATTTCGTGGTCACTCTGCCCAAGACTGTTCCCGACAATCACATCCTCCACCAGTCCTTCTCTGTTTGTGAAGAGAAGGTCTAGCAGGGCACCACCCCTGGTAGGTTCACTAATCAGCTGCGTCAGGAAGCTATCTTCCACTTTCTCCAGAAACCTCCTAGACTGCTTCCTCTGGGCTGTGTTGTGCTTCCAGGATATGTCAGGGAAGTTGAAGTCCCCCACGAGTACAAGCGCTGACGATTTCGCAACTTCTGTCAGCTGCCTGTAGAACTCCTCATCCGTCTCCTCATCCTGGTTCGGCGGTCTATAGCAGACCCCGAC